TACAAAGTTGTGATGGGTTATCTCACGGTCAGCCTTTCCCTTTCTTTTCTGGGTGAAAGGAAGCGGCCCCCAAGGGCCGCCCCCTCTGGGCGCAAACCGAAGGCGGGCCCGGAGGCTCGCCTGAAGTTTGCTCGGAAAAGACTTCACGAAAGATCAGGGTATGGGGCGGGTGGGATTTGATGCAGATACGCCTCCCGCTCTCGCGGTGAGGCTCCGGAAGGAAGAGGCGTGAGAAAAACTACATAGACGCGGCGCTACGATATCTGCTCCCTCTCCCCAAGACGGCGCACCGAGCTTCGCTCGGTGCTCGCCTCTTGTTGTTTCGTACGGTACAAAGTTGTGATGGGTTATCTCACGGTCAGCCTTTCCCTTTCTTTTCTGGGTGAAAGGAAGCGGCCCCCAAGGGCCGCCCCCTCTGGGCGCAAACCGAAGGCGGGCCCGGAGGCTCGCCCAAACCGCCACCAGCCGACGGGCACCGCGGGTGAGCCCACACACACCCAACCAGGCGGGATGCCTAAGAGGACAGGCGGCGGCGTCCCACATTGCGGACACGCCGCATGTGTTGTGGCAGGATATCCTCCACCGTCCTCCAATAGCGCAGGAACGTGTCCGACGACCAGCGCCCAGCCTTCTTGACCACAAGCGGAGGGACCCCAGCGAGAAGGAGTTCCGTCGTGCCTCCGATGCGGAAGCAGTGCCCCGTTACTCTGGGGTGTCAATGCGGGGCCCAAACCGAGTTGCAGCGCGCGAGGAAGGCTGATCTTGTGAGGAGTCTCGGGCCCTGTGAGCTCCGGAATGCGAAGAGAGGCGAATGAGGGGGTAAGTTGTTCTTCTGAAAGTGGTAAGCCAGGGCGTATATGGGGTCCGTTGAGCCGCGCTGCCGGTGTAAGAATACTGTTTCCCCTTTCGCGTAGCGGGTTTTCGATGAGGGGAGTGAGACAGAATATGACGCCGAAGCCCTGGAGGGTTTGTGGAAGTCTGTACGCTTCGGGAGATGGTCTTGGAACGCTGTTTGGGAGTTCGGAAGAAGCTCACCGGCGCGAAACTGTCCCCAAAACATGCAGCAAGCGGCTGCGAAGACCGCGGTGTCGAGAGGCGATTCGAATCTCAGCTTCCTGTGCAGTTGACGCAGCATCTCGCGAGTGACCGGTCCTCTCTGGGGTTTGCGAGATTCGCGAGGCCTCAGATTCTCGACGCCCTTCAGGACCTGTTGCAGCCTTCCGCCTCCTAGCCAAGGGGCGTCGTGCGCGGTATGCCACGCCTTAAGACCCGCTATCCAGCTCCTCGCCGTCCCCCCGGCCAGCCTTCCCAACGCTCTCGCGGCAAACGCGCATAGCACCACTTCCGGCGCGGGGAACCGCTCTTCGCTGGGGATGCGCTCCTGTCTGCAGAAGCGAAGGTACCGGTCCACGGCGCCGCTGTAGCCTTTGAGGGTGTTCGGCGCCCAACTCGCTTTGATGGCCTTATTCAGCCGGTCTATTGACCTCGCCGACAGCGGGAGCTGGTGCGAGGTCCGCGACACTTCGAAGGGTCTCCCGCTCACGTTTCCTCGCCGGCGCGGCCTAGTGGGACGGTCGCCCCTGGAGGAGCCCACTCGCGGCGAGTTTCGTGACCTCCCCGCGGTTTTCGGCACCTGATGCTGCTGTCGATGTGGTCGTATGAAAGCCGACGGCGACGAGTAAGCTGGTCTGCTGTTCTGCATTTGGGGCAGCTCAGAGGCGCCTCGACGACTTGTGTGAGCCGGCAGATGTGAGCCCGCCTGAGAAGGCGCACGTGATACGAAGCGTTGCGCTGCGGTGCAGGTCCCCCCGCGTAGTGGGGTGAATACAAGAGAGGGCTACTCTACTGGCTGGAGAACCTCCGTACGAGCCTCTGGCGGACCCAATTCCACAACTTTTCCAGCCGGTGTGTCTTCTTGCGGGGGAGCTCTGGAGGAGCCGTGTCCCGACTGAACCTGCTGCAGACGCAGTCGCCCATTACCGGTTGTGGGTGTGTCCCTTCTGACCAATGATGGCACCCTCGGGTGTCTCCTCTCCTGGTATGTCCTTCTATGATGGTGTGGGTCCGATTCCACGATGTATGGGCTGATCGTGGTAGTGTCACCCCAGAAGAAAGAGGGAGTGAGTTGGGCCGCCCACCTAGGTATTGCGCCGCTTGACTCCCATCCTCGTAGGAGATCGACCGCTCGAACTCGACCTTCACCACCTTCTCTATGTCTGAGAGGGAATCCCGTGGTGCGCACATCTCAGCGATGAAACGCTTGTCTTGACTGACATTAGTGCTGCCGTGTCTCTTGTGATACGCAGTACACACCGGATTTTGACATAGTGATATGGGCAGAGAGGAGAAGGAAATCGAGGATGTTACGCTATCATCCGCTCTTTTATATGGGTACCCGCTAGCCGACGTCCAGCGTCGCTGCGTGTTGGAAGTAAATGAGAGTAACGTAACGAAATATGCTAAGTGGAAGAATGGAAGGTTTCTAGCCTTAGCCGTTATCACGGAGCGGGTCGCGCGTGGGACCAAATCTGTCTCCTGTATTTCTCATCCGGTTACAAGGTATCAGGTCTGGTAATTAGAGGGGAAATACAGTACGGGATCTTAAACGAAGTGCGGGCCCGAGGGATGTCCTGGAGGGGGATACCCCGCGAGGGAGGGTCCGCCTTGTTCTCGGCAGATGGAACATATTCCGGGGAGATCCATATCGCATGGGCCCGCATCAACGTCACGATGCGCTGGAGGACCCGGTTGTGCTCGAGGTTCCGGGCGCGACCCGCCTCGAGCGCCCCGATGACCCCCTGGTTGTCTGAGCGGACCCGAAGATGTAAGCCCTGGAGCCCTTTTAGTACCGCCCACCTCAAACCAAACTCGATCGCGATCATCTCCGCCCATCCGATACTGCGCGCTTCCGAACGCCAGCCTTCGGAGAGTTTCCACGCGTCCCATTCGCCGTCAAGAACTACCCCGACCCCCCACGACGTTGATGCGTCGACCCAGAAATCGCGGTCGGTCATGTCCGGAGGGCGTGTCAGCGGGCTGCCGAACGGGCCCGACGAGAGGGTGTCCCGCCAGTATGCGATGTCCTCGAAGACCGAGGCGTTGGGCGTGCGTTTTGCGAAAGGCGAGTTCGCCGATGGGAAGGAGGCGACGAACTTCGAGAGCGCCACTAAGTGTGAGCGCCCGTCGGGGATGGCGAGGCTGCAGTGCACTAGCGTGCCCATGATCTGTTCCGCTTCTCGTCGCGTAAACGTGGAGCCCGGCACCCATGTCGTGATCTTCGCGATGTAGCGGGTTCGCTTCTCGAGCGGGATCGAGACCCACTTCGCGTCGAGGTCCCATTCGAATCCGAGGTAGCGAAAGATAGCTGCAAAGTCTCGCGTCTTGGACCGTTTCCACGGCCAACCGAGACGGTCCGCGAGCGCATAGAGGTCCTCCAAGCCGTATGAGTAAGTGGTGGCGCCCGCTCGCGTTGGGCCGGCTGGAAGACGAAGGAACGCGAAGTCGTCGACCCACTTCTTCACGGCCGCGACTCCGTACGCTGAGTAGACCGCCGCCATGCAGTCCGCGACTCTGCCCCAGACGCCCGGGGAACTCGCCGGTCCGAATGGCGCGCACGAGTCTATCCAAAAGGCTCCCTCCCAGTGGACCACAAAGTGGGGCTGCTGCTCCGGGCGGATGGGTATACACCTGAAGGCGGAGTCGACGTCTAGAGTCGCGATTTGGGCGCCCGGTGGTGCGTCCATGACGAGCAAAGCCATCTCGGAGAATGTGCCCCACTCACACGGGAACGCGTCCGAGTCGATGCCGGCGTTGACGGAAGGGATAAGCGGGTCGTCGCGCGGGAACGAGAAGTCCTGGATCATCCGCATTTCGTCTGTGCCGGCCTTCGGAACGGCGCCGAGCGGGGATGTTCGGAACGGACCAATGAGGGCTTCGAGCCTCGACTTGTCGAACGGACCCGTGTACCGTTTGGCGGATCGCTCCTTCGCGATGTACGCGTCGATTGCTTTAGAATTAGTGAGGGCTGACTTGTGATTAGGGGGAGTGTACGTAGTATGTACAGAGGAGGGGACGCCCATATCGAAGCCCTCTCGGATGCCTAACGGGATATCTGCAAATCTATAGGACAGGTTGAGTTCAGAGAGGCATGCCTCCCACTCACTTGCTCGGAGCGGGGTTACCACGGGAAGCCTCCACGATGGCGCAGAAGTGCGCGGAGTGACTGGCGTCTCCGCAGAGGGAGCAGAGATGTTCTCCCTGCGCGCAGGTGCCGGAGGCTGAGCAGCCTCTCTGCATATTGAAGTGGAAGCATAGCCGTCGTCCCGATGAGTCGCGATATCCTCCGTCGGCCGATTTCGTGATGTACACGGGATTGCCGTTGACGAGGGACTTGGCGTAACACGCCTTCGTGCGGTGGTTGTCGCGGCCACATAGGAAACAGATGCGAAAGGAGTGTGTGGATTGCGAACTAGGATATGGGGCCGCGCGTCTGGACGCGGAAGAGGAACGCGGCGCTTTGGCGCCACCCGAAGAGCTGGCCGCCTCACGTCGTCTATGCGCGAGGTCCAGCTGTGCGTGCTGAGGAGTAAACTGCGCAACCTTCTGGCCGAGGTGCGCGATGTATAGGTCGTCCCAAATGGCTCTATGGAACTCCCGAGGGTCGATTGGGGTGCGGAGGCGGCGGCGACGGATCTCGATGTCATAGCTTAGCCAGACCGGCCAGCGGCTGTCGCTGCTCGCACCCGGGCGGCACCTGATGAAGGT